AAAAAATTGATTAAAAAGACATTATCCAGTGGGCCAAATTGTGAATCTAAACCTTCCTTGAATCCACTTGAACACACACAAAAAATTTCATCACAATCGGTTCAACCGTTTAGGAGGAGTTTACTGTCAACACACGTACAGAAGAATTATATATATAAGATTAAACACAATTAAATTTGAATATTATATTATAATTAAAATACTTATTTTTTAATTATATTTAATATAATTAAATCTATATGTAATATTATTTTTCTTTTTCTTCACAGTTCTATTAATTAACGTCATTGGTTCAAAATTGCGGGCACCAAAGTCTTTTATAAATAAAAATTGAAATTTATTGTCACATTGGGTCATATCTGTAATACTGTGACCTTCTATCTAGTTGAGAGAGTGACTTATATCGACACGTGTAACCATTATTAAATGTCGTATGAAATTTCAAGAAAAAAAAAATATTAAGGATTAGTGGGTTGTTGTAATGTGTCACATAAAAAAAAGAAGCGATAGTAGACCTACTCCAGTGGAGCCTGCAAAGGCACACCATAACGTAGAACATTAAAGTCAAGGTGGTTGGGAATTGAAAAGTTTACACAAATGTCATGCTGAGTTCAGTTTAATTAAACGGCAATGATTTATGACTTTTAAGAATGTAACGCTTGGCTCAGTCGGTGGCTGCTCTTAAATATGTTGCCTTGGAATTTGGGTGAATGTGTGGGATTGCGGTATAAGAGTTTTTTCTTTCGTATCTCAAAGTGCCTCAGTACTGGTGTCCTTATAACTGCTGACAAAAAGCACCGTCAATGCTTTTCATATTTAATTGAGCAAAAGGAAACAGAATGTAAGGATGCGCACAGTTTGACAAAATATTTCTAATACAATAAATTTAACAGAATTTACAAACTTAAAAGATACATTTATTATTATTATTATATTAAAAAAATATATTTTGAAAAAAAATAATTTTATATATATATATATTATCTTATACATAATATTTCGTTGTAATTACATCAAAAGATATGCAAGCATATATCTTATACATACATAAATAAAAAAAAACGTATATAATAAATTTGTACGTGGAATGAAGTCAAATTCTAAAAACTAATGTTCATGCAAAAAATTAATTAAATTTATATATTTAAAATACAGTATGTACGAGCATTTATAAAACTTTTAGTTAAAATATATGTATACATACGTATATACTTTTTACTATATGCTAAGTGTACATGGCAAAGCAAGCAGGAATAACCAATTTTAAATATTTTCCATTTGTTTCAAACCCTTGCGGCACGCGTACGCCTTGTCTGTACGATATTCACTACTGTAATTACAATCCAGGATAGACAAGCTAACCAGGCACAAATCAATGTTAAATGAAAACAAATGGCACTATTGATGCGTCCATATTTGCGACGTTCATAGGACATGCTCTCCACAAGATAGTCCATAAAATCAAATATGGCTGCGCAAGATAAACGTCCTTTTATGACTGGCACAATATTGCCAACACCTTGTATCTCCTTGAGCAGTCCTTCTCGGTACTGTTTGCAAGTGACTTCAAACCCATCGGTAAATATTGAGGCATAAATTAATGTGTACAATGCCATTACGCAGGAAATTATAGCAGCTGGTGTCCAATAGTACGGTGATATACTACTGTCAGTTAACTCAGATTCAGTGGTTACAACAATCATGTCACCAGATCTGCAACAAAATGAACACAAAATTTATTAACTTTCAATTTAGATTTGTGGTAGAGAAGTTTAAAAAAAATTCTTATTTATGTTCTATAAAAAAAAAAATATATTGAACACTTTCTTGGGATTAAGAGAATTACGAACTTAAATTGTAGTTTGTATAATATTTATTTATCTTAAAAAATGTATATTTTAATAAAAATTAATAAATCATATAAGTTTAAATAATCAATAGATTGATAGTGTAATGGCAGTTATGTATAAAAAATAAATTAATTATAAAATATAAATTATTACTAAAGAAAATATGTGGTCTATTAAAAAAATGGAATATAATATAATTATGCATATATAGAAAATTGTTTTAAATAAATTCATATTTATATAAAAAATAAAATATATAAAAATAATAAAATAAGCAGTATAAACACAAAACAAAATACTACAATATAATAAAAAATATAATATAATAAATAATGTAATAAAAAGTAATTAAAGTAGTTTTAATTTATGACACTTCTAGAACAAAAATTTTATCAGTCCGATTATTATACCATCAAATATTTTATCAGACTACTGAAGATGAGGAATGTTCAATTCAAGTTAATAAATAAGTTATTTCAACCAACATATGTTCCTAAATATCTAATAAAATTTATGAGACCTATGTCTAAGGCTAAACCCCATTTATAACATATTACATATGTTATGCTTAAGTCCCAAATATAGCAAACTCTTAAATTATTTATTAAAAGTGAAGAAAATTCATATCTGATTGTCAAGTTTATATGGCTAAATTCTTTATTCAGATAAATCCTGCAAATTGTCTCAGGCCCGCTCCTGAGAATTGAGTATGCAAGGTTTTAGGAGATCGGATAGTACATATTATGAAAAACTAATGTGCTATAAATGTTTCTTCAATGTCTAATTTTTTAAAAAAAAATTTTTTTTTTCTTTGGTGGTGATCTGTAGTGATAATGGTCTTCGATTTCTGAATATATTTTTTATCTAAAATTATAGAGAAGCGACAGTTATTTTATATCAACGTTATATGATATCGACATCCATAATTTTAGGAACTGCTTCGATGACAAACAATCGGGCAAATAGTCATATGAACGTAATTAAATTGATTTATATAATTATGTTGATCAAAAATATATGTATTTCTCCAAATATAATATAACTACATATATTTAACATATCTTAGTAATAACATATATATTTTAAAAAACTAGGACAAAAGACCTAGTTAGTAGTCCAGTTCTTTATTCTTAATTAACTTTAAAATTAATTCTAGTGTTACCTCACAAATAAATAAATAAATATTTTGAAAAAATTAATATACTATGTATAATATATACCACATACATATAATATAATACTAACATTGTAATATACATAAATAATATGTGTATATAATCTATAAATATAATACATGTTAATATATGAAATTAATATACATTGTGTACGTAAGAAGTACCTATGTATTTATGATATTGTACTTCTTTTTCTCCGATCATTACCACTTAAATAAATCCATATACCAATTTATATTTATCATGATTCTTACAATAATATCAAACTAATATCATGTATTTAATAGCCACTTAAATTAAATATTTTTAATAATAATTAATGATTTCGAATGTTTATTGAGTGAGAACAAGGTTATACCATTAACTCTACATAACTTAATTTGGATAATTAATTTATACTCAAAAAAATTTAAATTTAACACTGGAAAATAAATATTAAATGAAATTAATTTAAATACAAAACTCAATTAGGTTAGCACCCACAAAGTAGAAGTCGCTTGGAATTAATCTTTGACAAATTTTAATTTGACACTTCATATTCAGACGAAGTAAAGCTCAGACGTAAATTAATTAAGACAATTTCACAGATGCAAGCAAATGAATTCGGATCTGAAGTAAGCAGTGTATGTATGTACACATGTTAAAATTAGAATAAATAATTAAATGAAAAATATGTAATTTAAAACCAAAAGCCTTTTAGAGCAAGAAACTTTTTACTTGTATTTGGTTTAACTTACTTTGTACTGCACTAATGGAGCCGACATCAGAATCATTATTAGAAGCATATTATATTACATTATACATAAGTTACAAAAGTATATTTGTACGTAGTAATGAAGTCCTAATTAAAAGCATTCATAATGAAACGAATGTGAGTATTATAAATTTCAACATTTTACTTATGATACTATGTGACCTTAAAATGAAATACATATAATGACGTAAATCATAGAAAATAGAAATGTTTAATTCAACCATAAACAGATTAATATATAAATAACTAAATGTTATACATATATATATAAGTATACAAAAACCTTTTAACTTTCGATTACTTGCATTGGTCATGAATTGAGGACTGAAATAATGTTATTCAAAGTCTATGTATGTCCCGTAAAGAAGCTTCATGAAAAAAAACTTAAAAAAAGCAATGTGTTGTTATTAATAATAAATAATAAATAATAAAATTCTACATTTAATTATAAATCCCTTTAATTTATTTTTATTAATATTAAATAAATAATAAAGTTCTACTTTTAGTTTCAAATCCCGTATTTCATGATGCTTAATTTCACCAATATTTCACTCAGTACTTATACACGTTTACAGATAGTGGCTGTAGAAATACCCAATGGATCTTTAGTAAGCGTATAATTACTGCATTGCAGGGAATCAGTCAGGCACATATAACTGTCTTACGTGTTGGAGAGATAACACGTAATAATTGAAACAAAAGTACTACTGAATTATCCAAAAAAAAATGTAGAAGATAGAACTTTGAAAATATGATAATAATTATGAAGTAATATTATAATGACTAACTACTCAGATAACTACCTAAACCTATAAAACACCGCAAACTACCATTAACATATCCCATGGAACTATCAAATTAATAATATGAAATGAAAGACGTATACATAGGTTTGGACATATGTAAATGAGAGGGAACGATATTGTTTAGTAATAAGAATGTGAGAGGGAAGGATACTGTTTAGTAATAAGAATGAATTGGGGATAGATGGGAACCCCATTGTATATTTTCTATAGTAGTCAATAGTTTAAGATACTGCAGCTTTAAAAGTAGTTTTACTTCTATTATGTTATATAAAACATTACTCATAAATAGAAATTTATGATTAAGACACGATTAAAATGAAGTATTATCATAATTGCTAACAAACAAACCAATAACTGAACCTCAAAGCTCTCTTAATATATACCAGAACATTGATTCTAATAAATAGTTTAAAATAATGAAGCATTTAAAGTAGGTTTACTTGCATAACAAAGAACATACATATTAAATGCACACCTATAATAAAGGCACTATTAAAATTAAATATAATACCATAATGACTATTACATCTGTGACTTAGTTCAGTTAATATTGAATACTTTGTTCCTATATGTATACGAAAGGTCCTTAAAAACCATCACAAAGTAAGGAAAATAATAGAATTATCAATTAATTATAAAGTACTTGAACACTAGCAGTAAACGATTAACGTTTAGCTTAATATGAGATATATTAACCCTTTAGTTCCCAAGTGGTTTGAAGCCTCGAGTTTTTCCATTATATGGTAGCATATATCCCCTTCGGATCGTCGGTATAACCTAACCTAATTCAACCCTGGAGTTAATTTCAAGGTAAATAAGTGATATATATATATAGTATCATATATTGAGCATCATATATTTACACTTTGGGGGTTTCGAAAACATATTAAGTCGTTTATGGTGTAATGGTAATGATTATTAACACTATCACAGCAGTTTAATTGTAGGCTGCTTAAAATCAACTCGGAACGAGAGGGTTAATAACAATATACTAATAACGAAATATTATAATTTACCTGAGAATGAAATACCATTTAATAATTTTATGTTGTATCAGTTATAGACCAAAAATAAACATAATTTCTATGAAAATTGTCCTAACAATTCGAATTTCGTTTGTCACTGACGCAGTACATACCTTTGACGTATTGTTGTGGTTCCTGATTTGCGTTTTGCAGTGCCCATACAAACACGATAAACGTGATAAATACCCAGGATGATAGCAAATATTAGTGGCAACAGCAGACCAAATGTGGCAAAATGACAATAGGCGATATGGCCACCCTCAAAGCTGGAGTATGTTGAGCGTGCAAACAAATAGCAGCCGCAATTGGTTTCCGGACAGGCATTAAGCACGTAACGCCAGTGCGCCCAGGCAACTCCTGAAGTAATGCAACAAATGGCCGATGTGATAATTATGAAAGGATAAAATAACGAAAGCGTCTTCTCAGCTTCGTATGACATGTTCGCTACTGTTGTTTGTGTTGTTGTTATTAGTGTTGTTGGCGTTTGGATGAAGTGCACCTAATGCTGAACTTAACGAAGAGCAATCACTACACGTTCAGTACAGTTTCACAACTGAAGTGTATCTTATATATTTGCTATAAAAAAGTATATATTTTTTTATTATTAATTTAGTAAAAATTAATTAAAATTAATATTTTTCACATTGAAATTATTAGTAATGTTTTTATTGTGTTTAACTTTACGTCGTCATTCGTAAACAAAAGTTACTAAACAAGAGTAAAAAAAAAATATGTTAGTAAGCCAAAACATTACGTGCTTTACGTTATACACCATTCCACACACACACACAAACACATTACTCTCTTGTTTTAACTCACCTAAGCACAAAATTGCTTGCTTGTTGCGCGTACTTAAAATCGTAAAAATATAGTTTTCTTCTCGTATAATTACAATATTTTTATTAATTATAAATTCTTTTTTACTTCTTTTCAATAATTCATGTATTATGTATTTTAATTTAAGTTATTTTTTATTAATAATATAATAAAACTTAGACGCTACCGACACCTGCAAAACTTCTTTAACTACAATTGCTCCGGCACACGCTCACAACACGACACACCTTAACTTTCTACCAACAACTAATAAAGTCGTTTGCGCTGTTGACTTGCAAACACACTTGAAATAAGTTCCAAATAAAGTTAAAGTGGTTTGATTATTTTTGTGGAACATACAATTATTTCACCACGCTCTGGCACCACTTCTTGGTCATACAACCAAGTCAGTCGAAATGTTTGACTATTGACTTAATTCGTTAGGTGTTGGCGTTTAACTGTTTGTTATTTTAATGTAAACCTAAGCGGGTATGGTGAATTTCTTATGTTTATTTGTAAGTGGCAAGAGCACCAGTCATTGATCGCAGTTAAATAGCACAAAAGAGAAGGAGAGTTAAATGAAATTGAAAAGAAATGAATGGAGAGTGAATATAAAATATAAAAGGTTACTGTGGATTTAATAATAATTCAATTCTGAGAAAATGTGTATAATTGTTAATGTACAGTGCCTTACAAAAGTTGTGGGGTATGAAAATTTATTGACATGACTTGATATGATAACAAGTCATAATATAATGATAACATAATAGAAGGTTATTTAAATTTTATTTGCATATAGTATCCATATAAATAAAATTTTATCTACATATAATATTAAAATGTGGTTTATAAATATACATAATATATATATTTTTTTAAAGTTATACAAAAATATTCCTATTTTCATATAATATTAATAAAATTATATCTACATTTACATACAATAGATATTCACATATATCTATATACAATTTATGTATAACATATACAATAATTTTTTTAATATTTAGATTAAAATAATAATAATATTTTCTTATATATTTTCTTATATAACAACACTTTTTACCATCAGTAGTCTTAGAATTATTTATTATATTAAAACAAAATTACTTGGATTTAAAGCGTTTATGACTAAACTGTATTCTTGAATTGCACACCCATTTCCTGCTACTTAACTAATAACTGGCACTGTAGCCACTAAATCTATGATTCATAATTAGAAGACTTTATTCCATAACATTATTGCCCTCCTATTCACTATTTACTAACTGATATCAATGAACTACGTCTGAGTGATAATGAAATTAAGTGTAATATTAAATTTAATTGTGTAAGCAATATGTTAATAGAAACACCCTACAGTTCCTTACCATATGTTATTTGGATTTGGTATCCCCTGTGAAATCCCTAATGAGATTGATTTTAGTATTAAATATATTAAATGTATGGATTTAGTATTCATATAACCATATGGATACTAAATTTATATAGTATATATATAGTACTTATATAGTAATTAGAAACTAATATAATTATGACAATATTAATATTGCAATATTTATTTAATACAGTATCACCAAGCAAGGATGACAAATTGCCAAAGAAATCAAATTAACTAATTCTTTATAAACTTATAGTAAAAAGAATAAAAAATATTACTTGGTTTTTAGATAAAATTAACATATATCACAGGAAAAATAATTTTATTTCTATTGTTATACACATAAAATATTATATAAGATAAGAAACTAAGATTATAATATTTATAATATAAGTATTGAACTAACATATGTTATCTTGAATTCAAAGCTATTAGTCATTGCTCCAGTTATCATATGTGAAATCTAATATATTTTTAAAGTAATACTTTAGAAGGTACTATAAGTAAATATAGCTCTACAAATATGTGACTTTACTGTTTGAAAATGCGTAGGTGTTTCGAGTAAAAATTGGGAGCAACAGGTTTTTGCTAAATAAGATTAAATCGTAGAAATGCGCTAACATTTTATACTGTCTATTAGGAAATAGTAATAAAAATAGTAATAAAAATAAAAATAATTTTCAATGAACTTCTACAATGAGCTTTGAGAGGACATTTGTCAAAAGAGTTCAATTTTGGCCAAGGGAACATCAAAATTATATTAACGAAGATAAGATAAACGTAGTCATTTATTTTATATGATTTCGATGTAAATGTTGTCACGGTTTCTATTGTCTATTAGAAAAGAAGTATATTAAAATATTATACAATTATTTCGCCAAATAGGGTCTTATACGAATGGTATCGAAAGATTATTTTTACCGAGTATATAAATTTATCTTACGCATAGTTGCATTTGAAATGTCCCTTAACTTCAGCCATCGTTTCAACGAAATTAAGGCAATTTTCCTTAATTTCGTTCTAACCTTAAAACTGAATTTTGTATGGATAAAATTTATATTTTATACGAAGATAAAATTAAGATTTTTGCGAAATCAAGGTGTGTCTGAACACAGAATAATATATACATATATTTATAATTCAATAATTAAAAAAAATCAATCGAACTTATGTTACTACTATCGTATTTGTACTAATAAGTTTAACTAATAAATCACTGACTACAATAAATAATCAAAATTAAAGCTACAATTTGTCCACATGTGTAAGTAATTGCAAATATTTAATTTGTTCAAATATACAATATATGTACATAGTTATAATATAGACATAATATACATATGTGGATGTATAACAGTGTGCAGAAATAAATAATTAAGTTTTTGGGAGACTTTCGGTGTAGCGAATAAGTTTTAATTAAACATCTGGGCAGGCAAATCGGCAGACGCCAATTTTCGAAAAGTTTTCTGAATTGCTTATTAAGTAAATAATTTCGTGAATATGTCAAAGACAGCAGACCAAGACGATTCAGTGGAGGAATAAAAATTTATTGGATAAACAAATCAACAATAATGAGGGCAAGAACAATAAAGAAATTCAACTAAATTTCTGAACCGGAACGAGAAACAATTTCCACAAATGCACCAAGAAATTTGTTGAAACTTTTGCAAATCAATTATGGGTGCAATTAGTCATGTGAGTGGAGGAAGGCAACTTCCAGAGTCGATGAGTAGTCCTCAATGCATAATTAAATATCTAATTTAGTCATTAAAAGTCTAATAAATGGTTTCATTCATTATATTTTTTTCCAAGCTCAATAAAATTATAGATGAATGAGTCGTTTATGGGTCACAAAAATTTATGATGCGCGCTTTAATAGCTAAGAGTTTAAGTGCTCGAGTTAGGAGGTTATACTCATATGGTTTCACATGATTAATGGATGCTTTTTTTTTCTTATTAATATTTATATGATTATGGTTATTTCAAGATATTTAAATTTAAAAAAAAACTAAATTAAGTACTATGAATATAGTAATGACAAATTGAAATATATAATTTTGGTTTCATTTATTAAAGAAAAAAATTTAAACAGTCTTGTAAATACTCTCTCTGTGAAATATAAAGGTTTCAATGCATATGCATATAACTTATAAATATCACTGATACAATGATGTCATATTGGAAGTACAAGATGAAAAATGCTTTATTAAATCAATAAACATGTGAGAAACCTTTCATTAAGCACATCAATATGTAGGATATCAACATAATTTACATATAAATAAAAACTACTAAATCACTAAAGCACCATGTATCAACTTATCTTAAATAGTCGCTATTAGATTGCTTGCTTTCAGCGAAAGAATGTCAAAACTCTCAACGAGTTAATTATGGGGCTTCACAGATTCCATCCCAACAAAAAATGGTATCTCAACCGAAAGGATATCAAAATTACCACTGAATTTCTGATAGAGTACCAAGTTTCTGATGGGATTCTACAGGCTGAGTTACCAACTCAACAAAAACCGATACCTCACCGAGTTTCTCATTGAGCACTGTAGAATTGGTACCTTAACAAAATATTCCTTTTAGAAACTAGTATCAGCTACTTTTCTGAAATCGATATTGAAACATCTGAATACACTATCTGCGAATGTCTTAAACTCTCTGGGATACAAAACTTATTGTTTCACATATCATATGAAACAATACGCAACTGTCATTAAAACCATAAAGATCATTTGAACCGACTGGAGTTATTCCAACGGACGAGATTGAAAAATATACTGACATTCAGGGAAGACAGTTGTTGTGTTATCTCGTGTTAAGTTATTTTATGCGATGTAACTTTATAAAAATTTTCTACATTTTATCACATTATGCTATAATTACGTGCTCTATTTTTTCTGTGATAGCAGGTGATATAATCTATATATATATATATATATATAATAATACTGAATATATATATATATATATATCATATATAATTACATACAATAATTTTTGATTAGAGAAAATCATTTTTTCCCAGATAATAATAATTATATTTTAATACATTGAAACTTTTATACGTGGTCGCTGTAAGAGTGAGTTTGCCGACGTCTTCAATGTCTTACACCGTCACTGCCTTATAGATTTGTGGATAGGTAAATCCTTTGACTTAAAACCTACACTCCTGAGAAATTTTTTGAAAACTTCAACTTTATTTAGGTGCACAGCAACTGAAGATGCAAACTCGTGCAAAATTTTGCTATACTTTAATCGCAGTCAAAATAATCGATTAAATTCTCTTGTTTAATCGCTACTTCGAAGCGCCGCGTAATGAACAGTAATGTTCGTTAAGTGTGGCCTCATTTTTTCCCAATTAAATCGCACAACGGATTTTATTCGGTTTTTATACATTTTTACACTGCTCATGGTACGATTATGTGGTAAAATCATTTCAAAATGTGTATCGCAATGAAGCAATTTTGTAATTTAAGCTATATATGAGTTTAAACTAAGAGATGCACTAATAAAAAATAATATTCACAAAAAAAAATAAAAAAAAAATATATAACAAAAATAAAATAAAATTTCTTAACGCGTGAAATCAAATTTCTGCTATCGGATTTCGATGTATGAACAAATCTACTTGAATTTATGAATAAAGCATTTGCAAGTAAATGCATAAAGTGTGTAAATTAACTAACTTTTCACAATAAACATTTTTTTCTTTTATATTCATTAAGTGACAAAACCAACTAACAGGGAATATGGATTACAATACGCGGTACGGAGTCAACAAATCTGAGAAGAATTGCTTTATGACGAAAGCATAAAGATATTTAATATATTCATTTTCATATTCATAAAAGTTGGAAAAAAAATTAGCAATCTTAATTAAGTTTAATACTAATGAACTAATTTTGTTTGTTTTTTTCTGAAAATTACATACGACAATCTAAACTAAACGAATCTTTCTGACGAAATATATTCTGCTTTTTCTAAAGAAAATACAATTCAGATTTTGTGTGAGCATCCATAGAATTAATGACAATGGGATTATTGAATCATAATAATAGGAAATTAAATCCTTACATCATACACACACAACCCATCAATGTAATATATGTGAATGTAGCTTGGTATGAAATTAATCACTTAATATCAAGAGTGTATGTAATGAAAATATATGTGAACCATTAATTGCCACCATCAACAATCCGTCATCTAAATCTAAATAGATCTCTTTCATCCTTTTCAATAATAACAATAAAGACTTAAACACAAAATTTCAGCAGAATATTTGTACTGATATATTGATAAATGCAAGAAAAAATGTGATTTAAGAAATAAGGTTAAGGAAGAAATATATTCTTTTTAAAAAATATTCCTTATCATATTATTTATAATATAAAAAGTAACAAGCCCCTATTATTAACTAAGGAAATCATTCAAATCCTTGAGTACAAAGATTTATTGATTTATTAATTTGTTGTTCAGACGATATCCTAACTAAATCCCTTCAAACAAAGTTACTAAAACCCTTGCATATAATAAAGCTAGAGTCTTTATACTAAATCACTCCATTAAGTTAAATAGTTTCACTTTCTATTTTAGAAAGCAGCAATTAGTCGAATAGTCATGCAAGAAAATTAAACTATATTAAAAACTAAATCGGATTTTAAGTTACTAATCTTTTGTCATTGGAATAATTTACTAAATAATTATGTGATGTACAATAAATTTTGGTAGAAAGAAAAAGACTTTTTTAAAAACATGCAGAAAGTGAATCGGAGAAAAGAAAATCTGATATATTTTCTTAATCAATCCTAACTATTACTGGCTCGATCTATAGAAATCTGAAAATTTCTTATTGATAGCTTCGGCTGGGTTGAACTATAGTAATAGGATTGTGATTTACTTTCACAAAAAACGATTATCGTTAGTTGTAAAGATAATCTTAATTATTATTGAATCGTTCTAAAGAAATCTGAGAATTTCTCATTGATGGTTTGGGCTAGGTTGAACTATGATAAAAGAAACTAGGAAACCGTTAGTAAAAAAATGAGATCCTGATATTGCAGCATTAACTGACGCAATTTTTGTTTTCTATCCAGAAAACGTTCCCATACCCATTTCACAAGTCAGTCGTTAGGAGTTACAGTAGCAGTGCAAAAATTTTTGAAAAGAGGTCAAATTTAAAATTTTATTGAAAAAAATATACTTAAATGAACTCAAACACTTTATTCCAAAGATGATAGATCTCTTCTTGACAAAACAATCTACAGAAAACAAAAATTATGCAAAAAAATATATATACAGAAATAAGGAAATTTGATATAACACTTCTCTAGAAACACATAAAGGTAATTACAATTAATTAAATATAATGCAAAAAGATATTACTTATTAGGGTATGCTTTATAACCCACCTTCAACAATCCTTCAAAACCTCAATCCCTCTTTTAGCTACATTTCTGCTAAGAGATAAAATCAACTATTATTGAA